TTATTTTCGCGGCTCGCGCGCACCTTATATATTGTGATAGGACGGATAACAATTACGAAAAAAGTCTCGTTAGGTAGCGGTGATTCGATGAACTGCGTCGGTGCGATGATGAGGAATCACGAGTTCGACGTGGCAGCTGTAGCTACTGAGGTTGGCCTCGATGAAGTTGTGACTGTTGGTGTAGGGGTGATCTTGTTCGAGTTTGTGAGATATCTTATTCTACCTGTATAAGAAGTGGCTTTTTATCGCTACCTTCTGTAGATAGTATAAATTATCTTCAGATAATCTTGTTGAAAGATCACTCGTTTTATCAATCAATGAAAAGACAAGTTTACTCTTCAAACCGGAACATCTCGGAGATTTATTTCGACACAGAGTGAGCCCACGTAACAATATAATATGTAAACGAGCCGCTAGGGGGCGAGCTTGTAAAAAACTCACAACCCGAAAACGAACTGTGGCTGAAAATGCTTATTATCCGATTCGTACCTTATAACGTAACGCTCGTCTTATTTTAACAAAAGGAAGTTATATCCTTTGTTTCGTTCAACGAGAACTTGAATTTGTTAGGGGTGATCTCGTTCGAGCTTGTTGATCTGACAATTGAAGAAGAAGATGATGCACGCGCCACACGTGTGCGTGGATATTGTTCACTGCTTATGTGTGTATAGGTACGCGTATGTAGCGTTTGCGTAGATATGCCGCGATCGGTATATCATATTCCGTAATAATACCGAAACTTTTGTAGCCGCGTTTTATAACACACGGAAAACTGGTAATTTACTCGTATTCGTAGCTCGAGCTTCGTACTTCGTAGCTCGATGATTACATTTTCTTTGTTAAAACGATTCGAGCTTGCAGAGCTTGCGGACACAGTTCGGTCGTTGCTACGGCGATACCATTCGATCCGTAAGTAACCGAGACCAAAAGAAAAGCTCGCTTGGTCGCTATCCAGAAATAATATCCATTTGCCATTCCTCGAGTCTTGCCGCGCGCAAAAACAACTTGCCGCGCAAAAACACTGTGCGCAGTTAATATCCGCGAAGATTAGCCAAACATCCTCGAGAATACAGCTTCCGTTTTCTCTCTCTCTCTCTTTCCTTCTGCAGCTCGCGATATACAGCTCGAGCCCATAAGTAATATGTATTTAAAGTCAAATAAACCAAGTATATAAGACGCGCAAGACGGCGTCAGTAGCAGCAACCCAAGACTCCGCCGAGTGCTCTCATTTATTTACATAACGCACAAATAGCCTGGCTACTGAACTGGCGCCTTTATATCCTACAAACTACACGCGACGAGCACGACTACGACGACGAAGAAGACCGGCGACGACTCGATCCAAACATCGCAGCTGTACGCACGCATATGTATATAAAGGCACACAGTTATGATGAACCAGGGGGGGCTTCTGCACAGCGTCAACCAGGGCACGCGTATGTACGCGTGCGAGAGCAGCGTTATATAGCTACAAGTGCGTCGATGCAGCGAGTATATATTATACGCGGGAAAAACAAGCTCTGCGCACTTGGCCGTCTCGCATCTCTCTCTTTCTCTCTCTCTGCCCCCTTGGACATCGCGACTCGTCCGTATGGCGCGAACGAGGAAGAATTCGAATATCGACGAGCTGCTGCTGCTGCTGCTGCAAGAAAGCGAACGAACGCGGAGAGAGAGAGGAAGAAAACGCGAACGAGCTGCTCCGATATAATACAGCAACCGAGCGAATAAGAAGTTTGAGAGCGTGTGTGTGTGTGCGTGGAGGCTGTTGCCATGCAGCTCGTATGTGCAGCACGTATCGTATACAACACACACACTTTATATTATACATGTATACGACGCGCGGCGGCGGCGGCGGCAGAGGTGATGACCTGCTCAAGGCCACCCACTCGCGAGACGCGATCGCGCCCGAACGAACGAACGAGCGAACGAATATATACATGAGAAGAGTCGCCCCGTCGCCGCGACGTCGAGTGCTATATAATATAGCATATCGAGGAGTGTACGACCGTATCGTAGGTCGCCCGCTCCATCTGCGGCTCAAGTATGGCGGATTCGAGACGTTCGAGATCGTCGTTCATGTATTAATAATTTTCAAAACACTAAAGTAATTGTAATGAATTACTCGAGTGACAATATATGTTTTGACTTTTGATGACTTGTACAGTTATTTCGACTTTTCTACTTGCAGATTTACAGGTTATTGTACACTAGCCATCTAGTGGCCGAGTTTAAAACTAATAAAAAATTCATTCGTACCTACAACATTACAGCTATGATGTTACTAATAGTTTTATTTAACCAATCTTGCTAGTTGCCACTAGTAAATTTGCCTGAATGAGCTAAGATGAATCGCAGTATGCACGCTATTAGTGCAATATGTGTACGTCGCGCAACAACTCACCACCTACACTGCGCGGTGAAAATAATCAGCACGGCGCTGAACGATGAATTTTAATTTTACTGTTTTTTTTTCGACGTCACTTGGTCAACGTGCTCCCGACTCTGGTAATCGACGTGAACATTCGATACTTCGAAAATCATATATTCTTCGTCGCCGAGTATATTATAAAGGCACCGATCGCTTGGCGTATCGGTATATTAAAACGGCGATGCCATTTACGAAAAACGCTATTATACGTATACGCAGCTCGATCGTGCAGCTGGAAAGGGCAGAATCGGAAATAAAACCGTTCTCGAGTCGATCGTCGAGAAATTCAACTTTTCTCTCTTTGCGTCGTGTGTGTATATATGTGTATGTGGTTCTGCGTTTCTGTTGCCGCTGCCCAGACTGCGCCCTGTGCGCGACTCGTTATCGGTCGTGCAAAACGTGTATATTACGAGAACAGTCGCGAGCCAAAAATAAACGGCATCGGCATCGCGCGGTGGCGGCGGCTGTGGCGTCGACGGAATTGCAGCAGCAGCTCGATCGTGTGTACATAATATACGAGGCGCGTTTTATATTATACGTATGTGTGTGTGTGTGCGTTTGCGTTTGCAAAGGGACGTTTTTTTGCCGCCCGTCGTTGCCTCTCTCTCTCTCCCTTCAACTCCGTGCCTGCGAATATATATATATACGCGAGAGCCTCTCTCATACGTGCTCGTACTCCGTAATAAGATCGATGCTCGCAATTTTCGTATTACCCGAGTCACGCTATGTGTGTGCTGGAGATGTATATATATGTAATACATACTCGCTGGAGGAGCGAATTTCGGCGAACGTTGCCACCGATTCCGTCCCAGCTTTTTTTATCCTCCCTCTTTTTTCTCATACACGTTGTATGTATAATGTAAGGGTATCCCCCGTCGATTAAATGCCGTTGCGCGTAATTAGTTATGGATGCTTTTCGGCAGCCGTGTACGTATAGCTATATATACGATGTATATAATTGCGCGCGCGCGAGGAGCGTGGCTCGAGCTGCAGCCCGCGCGCGCGTGAGAAAAGCAACAACAATGACATTCGAGGTGTATTGAGAGAAAAAAAATTAATTTCATCGTCGTCGCGTCTCAATAATATTATAGTATAAATCTTTTGGGATCTACACGAATAAATCTAAATGAGTTTCGAATTGTTCGATGTGTACGCTTGTATAAAAATCAATCAATAGGCTGATGATGTTGTCTGCGCACTCTCTTTCTTGTATAAGAAAGCACATAATTTACACATTATGTAGGTTATTGTTGTTTAGGTCGTTGTTGAATTACGATCAATAAGAACGTAATATAATGTAATATTTTGGGCCAGACTGCGTCGACTGATAAATTGAAAAAAAGAAAAAAGAAAAGAATTTATCGTATCGTGCGATCGCGCACGATTGGCATTTTTGTGCGATCCGCGCGTAGACGTAACAACAATATATCGAATCAGCAGCGCGCAACTATTGCAGACTAAAACACGTCCTCTCAGCAGTCAGCAGCAGCAGCACAGAGCGTCGCGAGGCTCTGTTTCATCAATCATGCGTTAACTGTACTCCACTCTCCGGCCGTGTCCGCCGTCTCTCTCTCTTTCTCTCTTTCATTCTCTCTAGAGCGGAATTGCAAAGAAAAATCCAGTTATAAAAGATATTCGATTTTTTTGTGCGTTTCTTATTGTAAATGTATACACGCTTACAATGTATACATAACACACGCAGTCGGAGAGCAGAATCGCGCACACGCGCCGCTGCTCATCGGATATGTTTAATAATGAGGGTTAATTGGAGTCAGGGATCGTCGTCATCGTCGTCGCCGTCTCATATATTGATGGAGTTGGCCTTACCACATACATACGAGGCATTGCAAAAAGGCTCGGGCTCCTCTCCTCTCTGTCTCTCTGTCTCTCGAGTCGAGATGCGCGCGCGCGATTTCCTCCCGCGAGTCTCGGTTTCATTAGCCACATGAGAGAGACTGATTAATCCGCGCTCTCGGGTGTATAGCAGAATCGCGTGTGCTATACGCATTATCAGCCCAAGAAAGAGAGACAGAGAGAAAATACACACGAGAGACATGCATAGCATGAATAAATCTACCTCATATGTATACTCCGCAGCCAGACGTCGTCGTATTTAACCCTCGGTGTTCGATTGAGTAACTTTTTTTCTTTCTCTCTCTCCGTCGTTCTATCTGCAAAATTATAACGTGTGTGCGATATTATACGAATCTCGATTAACAACTTTAATCACTCGTGTATGTGTGTGGATATCGCAGCTATTTTTCTACACGCGTACCTTAAAAGTCCCCCGAAAATTAAGGATTCGTTAAAAGCCGATAAATTAACGAGATGGCTCCTCGTGGCGCTGAATATTTTTGAGATAAGACTCCCGGCATTCGTATACGTATATATACATGCTCGTGTCCGCACGCGGAGAATTTCTAAAATCGGCGGAAATCCCACGATCGATTTATCGTCCGGCTCTTCTTTCCCCCTTTCAAATACTTATCAATACGGCACGGAGAACTAATCAAATTATTTTGCAACATTGGGACGTGCTTTTTTAATTTTCTCTCTCATTCTCTCGTTACAGAGCCGGTGACAACAACAACAACAGAGGCGAAGGACGATTCGTCGCCAGAGGAAGAGCAACAGCCCGATCAGCAGCCTCAGCAGGGTAACGCGAACAGTACAGCGACAGCAGCAGCATCAACAACCGAAGCCGAGGATAAGCAACAGGATAAAAGTGCGTGAAGATATTTTTTTCTTCTTCTTATTTTTATATTCTCCCTCTTTCTCGCTTCTCTTCTTCTTCATTTTTTTATTCTTTCTCTCTCTCTCTCTGTCTCTCTCTTCGCCCGAGCGTCGTATCCATTACCTTATCTGTATAGAACGCAAAGAAACTCGTTTATTTTTCAGGTGCACACGCAGCAGCAGCACCGCCTGCGCTCGCGTCCGGTGGCAGGGGGTCTCTCTGCTCCGCTTTTTTAACAGTTAGGCCCCGTCCTGTTGCTGCTGCTGCTGCTGATGCTACTCGAATCTGGCCTAATGAGATCGGCCATTCATAAGTTTTTTCCGTTTCATCGTTTTTGCGCGCGCGCCGAGTCGAGTCGAGCTTACGCGCATGCATTATACAGGGTCTCTTTTGGTCCTGTACGTATAATACTTGGATATAAGCTGCTTGCCATTGGCGATCCTCGTTTCGGAAAATATCGGCGCGGCACGAATACGCGAACCTCGGTATACATTATATATACGTATACGCGCCTCGAGGCAAATTAAAAATAAATGTCACGCATCGGGCGCGCGCGCGCGCGGAATCCGATGCGGAGCCTGTATAACTTCATTTTGGCTTCGGCGCTTATATTCCCGCTGCAGCAGCGACAGTACAGCAGGGACCCTTTTTTGACTTTAAATTTATGCTTGCACGTTATACGCAGTAATTCATCGCTGTGTATATGTGGAAGCGAGTCAAACCGCGATTGTGTGGCGATATTTAATTGATTCCGATTTAACGGTATATATTTACCTTCGTGAAAAAATGGCGCCCCAACGCGCAGGGCCTATACGTGTGTAAGCTCATATTGACAGCTCGCTGTACGTATAGCGTAGGCTAAATATGCATAAACGCGACTGTGTGCGCAGTCGAGCGCGGACAACAAAAACCTATAACGTTATGCGCCGGGTCTTACTCGTATATACGGAAATACATTAGTTTGTCTCTGCGTCTGTCTGTTATTTTTTTCTGCCATCGGCGAACTTATGACCATGTCAGCAATCTTTCGTCGCGCGCGGATAGCCTATAGGTCGACCGGCGCTGCAGTGCGTCAAGTTACTCGGCATCGAGTCTATACGGGCATATATATATACACAACTATAAACCCGTTAAGCAAAAAAAAAAGTCACGTCCAGGTTTTGTCTGTGTGTGTGCCCTTTGCGCGAGACAATGTTCCTTTAGGAGTTCGAGGCGTGCAGCGCGCATATCATCTCTCTCTCTCTTTCTTTCTCTCTCTCTCTATACGCCGTGTGTTGTTTCCGCATTCTGCCGAGATCTTATTTCCATCGGAAACGTGTGTATCTATATATGAAGCTTTTAGAACTACACAGTGGAGGAGTCGTGTATTGCATTGTATTTCTGTTCTTCTCCGAGAGAGAGAAAGAGAGAGAGAGAAAGAAGAAAGAGAAAAGTGAGAGAGAAACCGAAGGATTGCCTGGAGCTTGTCCCCTTCGCGCGCGCGCGCATATAGACGAGCTTTGAAACGCGATCGCTATATCCTCGCTATAACCAGAGAAGATTCAATGGAAATTGCGCTCGTATATATAAATATACATCTATAGCTCTCTCTCTCGACTGCACACACATACACATACAACAACGCCGCGTTAAATGTGTGTGCACTCGACCGCGATGCGCGCCCATTTATTTTTTTCTTCCCTCCTCTCTTTTCCGCCGCGTCGAAAAGGTCATAGATCTACGAGTGACTTATCGCTTGTTCGGCCAAGACTACGACGACGAGTGTGTTGTCTTATTGTATAACGTTATATTGTACTCTACGTGCCGTATATTTATGTATAAACGCGCGATCGACAAAAGCTCCTCCACGATCTCCTCGAGCAGCAGCAGTGGTTAAGCGGCGGCGGCGATCGGATCGTCGTAGCGTTGACATCTTAGTCATCGCGGTCAGATCGGCAGATTATATTATATGTATACCCTCTTTTGTTTGTAACATGTCGTCGTATACGTCTGTCTGCTGCTCGTCGATCGTGTTTTTCGATATATTCATTCGTGTCTCGATCGATCGATCGGTTTAAATTGAATTTTTACTGCGATCCACACGCCTTATTTAAAAATAATGAAAGAGGAGAAAAGCGAGAAACAAAAATAAACGGAGCATCGCGACAGCTGCCGCACGATTTGTCATTTTTCGCTGGCACGTATGTATTATTCACGGCCGCGGTCGAGATAAGCACTCGATTTCTGCAGAAAAATGACGTTATTGTTGCCGATAAAAAAAAAAGAGATTGCAGTAATCCTCGCCGCGCGCAAGTGCACATCGAATCATACTCGCGATCGCGTGTGCTTTTTTTCTTATTCTTTGACCGAGAAATAAAAAAAATAGGAAGAATCGCGCTCTTCTTCGTTCAAATAATTGTTTTATGTGTGTATCGTTCGGTAACATCTTGCGCTCGACTGTCTTATCGCAACACACACCACCGCCCCGCGCAGAAGGAGAGGAAGAAGAAGAATCGACATCGAGCCGACGCGCACCTGAAAAACATCTCTTGCGCACACACACAGTTCAAAAACCGCGTGGAGCCAATCGCTCTTAGCCGGGGCTGCTGCTGCTGCGCCTTATCACCTTGTATGTCAGCTCGCGAAAGCTCCGTTAGCGGAGTAGCAACGCGAGGCTATACTTAGCCTTATCCAAAAAGCTGCATCCTTTGTCGTGTACGTGTGTGTATGTGTGTGTGCAGTGTGTAGCAGCAGGTATGCGTTAGGCTGGAAAAGAGAGAGAGAGAAGGAAAAAAAACATACCGTTGCTCTTTTATACTCTCGATAATAACAAATTCACCCTAACTCTTGAGCTAACATAATGTACCGTTTCTCGGGGCAAGGCGATTCGTGTCAAAACACACACGCACACACTCACACGTTCGCACACCCAATCGCAAAGTTTGGGTTGTGAAAAAGAGGAGAAAAAACAAGGAAACGAAGAGCCCGCGACAGCGCGTACGTACACAGTGCTTCAACCGACCGCAACTGCACGTGTATGCGTGCGTGTGTTCTGCAGCTGCGGCGCGAGACGTTTATAAACAGTCGACTTATCGCGACGCGCGGGACCTCGCGACGATCGTGTTTTACGCCGAAAGAGTAAGAGAGCAGAGAAGAGCTTTTATGAATTTTTACAAATCTGCGGATAGACTATTTTGCTACACATTATGAAACGTCGAGGCCCGTGGCATCGCAATGACAGTAACAACGAGATACATTAATAAAAATTATAATTTAAAATGATAGTACGTCTCGCAGCCGATACGAGGCGTATACTGAAGCAAAATGACAACACACGGCAAGAATTACGAATAAGAATTTTATAAGATCACCTCTCTACCTCGTCAAGTACAAGAACATTCGAAACGTGTCTTACCCAAAGCTCTCGCGGGAAATCCGAAATAAAAACTTCTTTTCTCACTTATTTTTTTTTAAATTCTGGTCAAAGTCACGTACGTATCTATAGAGAAAATAGTACGGCTCTCGCGGGCGATGAAGAAAAAAAAGGACGAGGTTCGCGCGCGCTTGTGCGGCAGCAGCAGCAGCAGCCGCTTATAATTCCAAACGACCCATAAAAAAGTCCGTCTCTCTCTCTCTCTCTCTCGGCTAAAGCGATTGAAATCCGAGGCAATAAAGCACGACATTACAACACGCGCAGTTCGTGATTCGCGCGCGTGCGAGTTTCTGCCTGCACTATACTGCTGCACATGCAGGCGGCTCGCGAGCTTTGCGATAAAGCCGGCCATAACGTCGCGCGCGGTCTTTTTCTCTATTCCGTTTTTTTCTCTATCGTCTATTACTTCAGAATTGGCAATAATGCGTCGCGGTACCGATGCGCGTTACATGCGTTTGGTATATAAAGGTTACTGATGGACGCGGCGCGAGGCCCCACCACCGAATCAATGAGTCAGCGCTGCTGCTGCTGCTGCGCGAAATGAATTACTTTATGTATAAAATATAGTAAAGTTTACGCGTGCCTGTTGTACGAGAGAGAGAGAGAGAGAGAGAGAGAAGGTGATATATAGGTACGCCCGCGATGATCTTCCCACGCGTATTGTTTCTGCGCGACCGCTAGCTCGGGGCTAGCCCCCGGTACAAATTATGCAGCGCGTATATAAATGTTCCTTTCTCGTGTACATACGAACGTTTGCCACTGATAAAGTTTTTACGTAATAAATAAATAAATATATACGTATCAGCGATATATAAATGGGGTGATCAAATGCCAGCAGTAGCTACCAGACGAAATCAATTGTTGTTGACGACAACGCGGTGCAGCTATACACATACGCATGCTAGCGGCGACCGGTCGCGAATCAAATATGCAGACCAGTTTTTGCAATTCTATTGCGCGGCTCCGCTTAAATAACCTTTGCCGCCTGCGCGTGCTAACGCACGCTTCAGCAACGTTTCTTGGAAATTCTCGCGTGACGTTAGAGTTTAGAGAGAATCGATTGTTTTTGTCGCTGCTGTGATGTTTTTATTTATTTATTTTATTTTATTTTATTTTTTTTTATTAACTCGAACGAGAGTACGAAAGCACACACGCGAATTTGTATAAATGCATCGTAGGTAGCGTATATAAAGATACATACCGTGTGTCTGATAATAAGGTGCGAAAATCACGTTCGCGTGTGACCGATCAATGCGCCGCGCGAAAGCAATTACCCACGTCCACGCCGCGCATGTACGATATTTTACTTATTAAACAGCGATTAAAACATGGATGTATCCACTAACACAAATTTTTTTATAAAACCGTACTCTTATACGTTTATTTTGACTTTGCCACTTGCAGATTTACACATAAAGGTAATCGCCATCTAGTGATGGAAGCCAAAAGTAGCATTATCGTATTTAAAGTAGTAGAACTGATCTAAATTTTTTGAAAACGATAAAATTACCATTTTTAGGTATATTGATACTTCCTTAATATTTTAAAATAATTCTATCAAACGCAAGCTCATTAATGG